TGGGGGGTGTTTGGGGGGGGGTCCTGGGGAGATTTTGGGGAGGTTTGGGGGGTCCTGGGAGGGATTTTGGAGGGTTCTGGGTGATTTTTGGGATTTCCATTGGGATTTTTGGGATTTCTGCACGAATTTGGGGAGGGGTCTCCCCCTGTGGCAGGCGCGGGCCCGGGTGAGGTGGGGGTCTCTGGGGAGGGGGTCTCTGTGGCGATTTTGGGGATTTCCATGGGAATTTTCGGGGATTTCCATGGGAATTTTTGGGGATTTCCGTGGGGATTTCCCCATTTCTGCACGAATTTGAGGAGGGGTCTCCCCCTGTGGCAGGCGCGGGCCCGGGTGAGGTGGGGGTCTCCATCGTGGACCCCAGCGGGCGCCGCGGGACCCCCGAGGCGGTGCTGGAGGATCGTGGGTCTGGGGGCTTCCGCTGCTCCTACAAACCCCAGAGCGAGGGGCTGCACCTGGTGCACGTCACCTTCGGGGGGGTCCCCATCCCCCGCAGCCCCTTCAGCGTCACCGTGGGCCAGGGTGAGCCCCCTCCCCAAATTCTGACCCGGGGGGCTGCGCCCACCCCCCACCTTTGGGGTCTCTGTCCTTCGAACCCCCCAAATTTGGGGGTCTCTGTGTCCCTCCCCCAGTTTGGGGTCTCTGTCCTTCCAAACCCCCCAATTTGGGGGTCTCTGTCCTCAAGCCCCCCCAATTTGGGGGTCTCTGTCCTTCCAGTCCCCCCAATTTGGGGGTCTCTGTCCTCAAGCCCCCCCAATTTGGGGGTCTCTGTGCTCAAATCCCCCCAATTTGGGGGTCTCAGTCCCTCCGTAACTTCAGGATTTCTGTGTTCCCACCTCCCCCAATTTGGGGGTCTCTAGCCCTTCTCCCCCCGATTTGGGGGTCTCTGTTCCCCCCTCCCCAAATTTGGGGTCTCTGTCCTTCAAACCCCCCCAATTTGGGGGTCTCTGTCCTTCAATCTGCCCCCCAATTTGGGGGTCTCTGTGTCCTCGCCCCCAATTCCGGGGTCTCTGAGCTCCAAACCCCCCCAGTTCGGGGGTCTGTGTGTTCCCCCCTCCCCACATTTGGGGTCTCTCTGCTCTGACCTCCCCAGTGCGGGGGTCTCTGTCCTTGCCCAGCTTGAGGGGTCTCTGTCCCCGCCCCCAATTTGGGGTCTCCCCGGGGGTCTCTGTCCCCCCCCCCCATTTTGGGGTCTCTTTGGCCTTTCCTGGGCGGTTCTGGGGCTGTCGCTGCTTTTGGGGGGGGGTCTCGAGACCCCCCCCGTGACTTTGCTTTCTCTCTCCCTGTCCTTTTGTCCGTCTGTCCCTCTGTCCCTCTGTCCCTTTGTATGTCCCTCTGTCCCTCTGTCCCTCTGTCCCCTCTGTGTCCTTCTCTGTCCCTCTATCCCTCTCTCTGTCTCTCTGTCCGTCTGTCCCTCTGTCTGTCCCCTCTCTGTCCCTCTCTCTG